CGCGCGCCCCGCGTCTGTTACCCAGCGCCACCCTGCGCGGGTCCCCGCACGCTTGCCTGGCCCGCACGCCCTCCCGGGGGTCCCTGGCGCTCGGAGGCGCCGGCCACAGCATCCGCGCCTGGGAGCCGGCCGCCGGGGCGCAGCGAGTCTGGAAAAGTTGGCGAGGTGAGTCGTGGCAGACCGGCTGGGGGCCTGTGTCTCACTCCAGCCTTCACCCCGTCCTGCCAAATCCGGAGGGAGAGGGCGCTTTGGGCCGGGAGCCCCCAGGGGCTGCCCACTGCTGACCCTCACCCTGCCGGAAACGAGGGCCCACCTTCGTGGAGCCTTCCTGGCGGGCAGTGCTGAGAGTAATCACGGACCTTGTGGAAATGTCAGGGAGAATGGCTTGCATGTTACACTTTGTAACTGTCAAGGCGAGACATCTTTTTGCCTTCTTGCAATCATACACCCTTTGTGTAATTTTTCAAAAGCCACCACGTAGCAAGAATATTCTATTTCATTCTCATATTTCGCGGGAGAATCCATGCTGAAAACAGATCTGATTGAGATGGGAAAGTTAGACGTTTGTCAAGACTGACTGCTGTTGGTTACCCCTCCCCGCGCATCCCCAGGCCCCGGGTGCCCACAACAGAAGAGGCATTTGACCTAAGTTCATTAAAAAGAAGTTTTGTTCTTAGAAGCAGCGACGCGTGGCACGGGCAGGAGACCAGGGGTTTCCTGTTCCTTTTCTGTTTCGGGCTCCAGGACAGTCCAGCGGTCCTAGGAGGAAAATATCTTAACCTTGGACCTGACCTCGTGTTTGATTTCTCTTTCCCTACACAAAGCGTAACACGCTTCAGCTTTTCAGTGGAGCGTTTTCTTTTTGGCCTGGGTTGCTGGAGTGCCCGCAGGTTTGGAATTCGCGTTTCTTTCCTTTGTTGTGGAGAGCTTTTTCACAATCTCCCCTCTTGTAGTGGGTCTGGTTTTTTTCTGCTGTTTCAAGGCTGTTTCCAACTGCCATTGCAACGTCTGCATTTGCGAGGCTCCTTAATTAGGTGAGCCGAGTTGAAGAATTCTTTGTGAGCATATGACTAAGTCTATTTTGGCGCTTTTACTGTAACTAAGGGGAAAGACTTGAAACCTCAAGAAGGAGCCATGCCAGTTTCTGATCCTCTTGTGCCTCATCATAAATATACAGATGGGTGCTGACAGGTTTAGGGGGGAACCCCCAGTGATCTATGGCATGGATTTAAAGTATTCTCAATGCATGTGCTCTAAGTAAGGATATTCTCATTAGGAATTTAGTAGGCTTTCTCTCCTATATCCTGAGGTTTCTTATAATTATATTGAGGTTTAAGTGCAAGTTTCCCATGATTTGTAAATGTGATGGGAGCAACTTGTAAAATGATAACTAACACCACTTACCACAGCTAATCAGTGCTAACAGCAGTGTGCAGAAGTGACAGTGGTTAACAGTTGCATAGGCCGTGCCGTAACCCTTTGGTAGTAGTTCTCAGTTCTTGTGAAAGAGGATCAGCTATACCAGCCTTATCTGAAAACTTGTTCAAAATGCAGATTCTTCACCCCACTCTACCCCCACAAGTCAAAAGGCACTCGAGTGGTATCAATAACCGGTGTTTTTATAGCTGCTCCTTTATTTTTATGCACACCAACGTTTGAGAACCTGTTCTGTGATGTAAGCATTGGCATTATCCCCACTTTGCATGTGGGAAAAGTATTGCATAAAGATTAGCAATTTGTGCAAGGTGTACAGGTAACCTGCGGTGGATCAGGAGGAAGAGCCAGGCCGTGTGGATGAGCGCTTACTGCTATGATGAGGTCCTAGCACACTCTTGGCTGTGATTCATAATCTTGCTGAGATTTTTCCAAAGAAGCACCATAGATTTTTGGAGCTGTCTCATTCTTCAAGGTGTTGGGAACACTGGGGCAGCATCTTCTTGTCTCTATCTGAACAAATTGGCTCTGACTGGGAGATCATGAACAGAATCTAAATGGACGCTTAGAGGACTCTCCGTGAGCAACAGTGCCCTCAGAACCATTTTTCTTTTGAACATATCTCTTAGATGATCAAGGAAATCATACCCAACACTGTAAGAAGAAAGAACAAAATTTACAAACTCAGGAAAGAATAAAAGACAAAAAGCCACAGGAAATCTCAGGCCCCAATGAATAAACAGTTGACATTTTTGGGGACTTATTTATTGTTTCTTTTGCTACGCAGAAATGGCAACAAAAATTCTGAAGCGGGGAGGGAACAGGAGGAAAGATCTCTGCATGGACTCCTTTATTGCTTTCCTAATTCTGCCTGGGTTAAATTTTTGTGGTTGAGGAGGAATTTCATTTAGGGAGGGAAGAAAAAAACCTCATGGCTTCAGAAAATGAGTGCTTTAATCTCTTTATGTGGCGAGAATCCAAGAGAGTTGGAGGATATGTGATCTCATTTCTCGAGCCCAGAGAGGGTCAGTCTTGTGGCTGGAGTTAGCAGAGAGCTTGGACTTGGACCGGACACAGCCCGCACCTGCTGGCCACGCACAGCTTGGGCTGCCTGGCCTCCCCGGGGTCCTGCTTTAAGTGAAGTTCTGCCACGTCAGTGCAGGAAATAGCACTCTCCCTCCACATCTTGTTTTCATTTTGGAGCAGTTTCCAAGGACTTGACTCGTTAGCAGGCAGACCCTACAATTTTCTAACTAGTCATTTGTGTGCAGTTGGTCCTGCAGTCGCCTGCTTCTCTGTAAGTACACAGCCAGGAGGTAAGGTTTGAGGTTGAGGTCAAGAGTGGGGTCTGAAAACAGACACCATATTGGAAGGAGCAATCCCAGTGCATGACACAAATGAAGTCTTCCTTCTGTTTCACTTTATTGGTGATTTATAGCTGGCTGACTTCCAAAATGAACTTAATACAATGTGAGTAAAAAATTCATATACAAGAAGGCCATCAAAATTTTAAAAAAATATATAAAGAGGGGAAATAAGTACTGCTTGCCAAAAACTGAGCCCACTATTATTAGGAAGATCAGGTGTTCAATTTAGCTCTGAGCTTCCTGGTACCCATATCAAAAAGGGAACCATGATGGGCTGCCTGATTGTCACTGGATGGGAAGAGGAAGGATTTATGAAGATGACTTTTTTTTAATAAAACTTAATTCTAAAATAAGAATTTACATGAGATTAGATTTTAGACTTTGAAAGGACTTTGCTCCTAAACACTCCTCTTTGAGTCTGCTTACAGGGAAGGAAGTTTAATGTACCTGGTAATCAACACAGGATCAAAAAGAATACATTATGAGGAGTCCAGCAAACTGGGTTCATTTCACCATATTTTCTTCACTGTGAAATGAGCAGAAGTCAGCCAGAAGCCTTCTCAGTTCTCTCCCAGCTCCGACCCTTGACGATCCTATGATAAGATCATCCAGTGCTGCGGCAAGAACCCGACCATGACTGCTGCGTAGCTCTTTGTGCTGTCTTGCAAAATCAGTTTCTCATTTCTTGGCTTCATCCTGGAGCTCTTACTGATTACTCAACTCCAACCCTTTCCTGAACTTTATTCTTTTTCTTCTGCGTTGGCCTGGATTTTGGTATTTTCTCTTAGCATATGGTTTCTCTGGGAGGCTTAGGCTTCCTCTAGGCCTGTGGCCTTGCTCCATCCTGGTTTCCACAGTTGTTCTGCATGTGTTTACCGCATATTCCCTCTGCCAGGTGCTCATCGTGCAATGGGGAATGCTGTTACTGCCCTACCAGAATTCAGGCTGGGAGAGGACAATACTGAAACCTGTTACCCTCGGCTGCCTCCCGGCTCCCCACCTCCAAGGAAGCACACATCCTTGCTCATTGGAGACACCATTTCCTGCAGTTCCCCTTGAGCGCTGAGATAAGTCTTCCCCGGAAATCAAGTGTCTCAATAAACACGCATGATGCTGGGCAACAAAATGCTAAGTCTGCAACCCTGCTCTGGTTAGCTGCTACTCACAGAGGACAGCGGTCTGTAACGTGTAGTACCATCCAGGATGTTATATAGCCATGGCTCTTGATTCTTTTCCCAGCTCGTTGTTATTGTCGTTATTGGTCCGGAAGCCCTCTTTTTGTCGATTAGATCATGAATCCCCTCTGTCACCCTTCCCTATCCCCAGTCAGGAAGTCTTGCTAGTTCTGTTTAAAAATACCCCCCCAACCCCACCTCAGTCCACCATCTGTACCACTTCGCAGTGGACACTGAAATAGCCTTCTTTGTGCTCTGTGTGGTTCTCCTCTAGCGCCTGTCCATTTTCACGCAGGTGTGTCATCTTTTATTGTGTGTGTGTGGCTGGCTCAGCCCACCCTGGGGCAGGGCTGGCGGGCAGTGCGGTGGATCAAAACACAGTCGCTGCGCTGTCTAAACTCGCCTGAGCAGGCGCTTTAGACCACTGAGCTATCTTCCCCCCGACACACACCCCTTTTAAAATGTATTTGTTACAGGCTGTCACTCAGCCACTTAAACTCATAGTGATGCTCCTATCTTCAGCCTCCCCAGCTCTGGGATTACAGGTGTGTGCCCCCACGCCAGGACTGATGGCCAGCTCAGCCGCCTGGGGGCGGGGCCGGCCTGTGGTGCTGGGGAATCTAACCGGCCCTGTGACATCATCTTTATTAGGCGGACCAGATCAAATCACTTAGCTGGCTAACATTCCTTAAGAACTAATTTCCTGTCACACTGAGAATTAAACTGAGCTTCTCAATGTGGCCTGATGTCAACTCCATTTAGTCCTCTGGCCTTATCTCCTCCCTCTCACCATTCTCTTGCTCCCTTCATGACCCCCCACCATTTCTATATATCTGGCTTGGTCAGCTCCCTGCCCCCTCCTTCAGGTTTACCCTGACCTTTTCTCTCCCCAGAGGAGTGCTCCTAGCTGCCAGGCACTTGGGCCCCTTCCCATCATCCTCTACCCCCTGTAAACCTTGTTGCTCAATATTTTGTCCTTGGTAGTGCCTGTTACTAAATGAATACTGGATTTGGTTTGTCCCTCTCCACTTCTGTGTACACGCTGCCTCATCAGTCGCTGTATCACTGGGCTGTGGGACGGAGACGATGTCATAGCAGACATTCAATAAATATTTTTGAATGAATGGATGCAGCACCCACCTTGTCTCTACCCAATGTAAGACTTTACTTGTATCAAGTTATGTATGGT